GGCAAGGCCAGCAATACACCTTCACTGTCTTACTCTCTAGCCCTATGTCATTTCATAATATAGTTTGCCCCTATGTCATTTCATAATATAGTTTGCAGGGATCTTGACCACCTTTCTCTTCCGCAAAATATCACATTGGTCTGTTACATTGATGACATTATGCTGATTGGACCTACTGAATGAGAAGTTGCAACTACTCTAGACTTACTGATAAGACATTTGTGTGTCAGAGGATAGGAAATAAACTAAAATTGAGGGGCCTTCTACTTCAGTAAAATTTCTAGAGATCCAATGGTGTGGGGCATGTTGAGCTATCTCTTCCAAAGTGAAGAATAAGTTGTAGCATTTGGCAACTCCTTCAACCAAGAACGAGATACAATACCTAGTGGGCCTATTTGGATTTTAGAGGCCACGTATTTCTCTGGAAAATCCTGACTAATACACCTCCCTGGCCTCTTCCCAGCATCTCATGATGGCCAGCAATTTTTGGCATTCCTTAGCTTGTAACTGCATCAGTTCAATCTCTGTCTCCATCTTCACATGGCATTCTCCCTGTGTCTTTATATCATTTTCTCTCTCTGCATGTCCATCTCTGTGGCCAAATTTAACCTTTTTCTAAGGACTCCAGTCATATTGAACTAGGGCCTACCCTAATAACTTCATATTAACTTGATTGCCTAAAGACACTATTTCCAAATAAGGTTACATTCTGAGGAACTGGAGGTGATGATTTAAACATATCTTTTTGTGGGGACACAATTCAACCCATAATAGAAGGTATCAAAGACTGCTATTGTAATGTCAAAAAGAACCAACATGAAGAGGTTCCCGCTGGTCAAGGATAAGACTCTTTGAGAATCAGTAGGAGCCTGGCTGGTTAGCTCAGTTGGTTAGAGTGCCACCTTGTAACACCAAGATCGAGGGTTCGGATCCCTATACTGGCCCCCTACCCGCTCCCCCCCAAAAAATCTCCCAAGAATCAATAGGATAGTACTTGCAGTAAGTTGGACTACATCAAATATTTAAATCTATTAATGTGTAATGCAGCTAAAAAAAAAAAATACCATTAATATTCTCTGTGGTCTCTCCAATAGGAAATTCAGACTGACACAGAGGTTGGCTTTCAAGAGGCTTAAAACAGAAGGCCTAATTCCTCTTAAGCCTGGGCACAGAAGACAAAGTGTAACTCCCACCTTGTCCAAGCAAATTACAGAACCAACCCGGATCCAAGATTTCACCCCTTGATGGGAGGAATGGCACAGTCACATTGCAAATGGTGCCATTTGGACACCAGTCTAAGAGGAAAGACCTAGCAGTGTTGATTTCAGGGGTTCTCCAAGGAAATAGCTCAACCACATTATATAAAACAAAACCCATGGTCAACAACTCCCTCTCCTCACCCCGCACACACAGACACACACAGCTTCCGAGCATATTAGTACTCCATTTTTTTTTTTTTTTTTTTGGTGGCTGGTCAGTTTGGGGATCTGAACTTGACCTTGGTATTACAAGTCTGTGCTCTAACCAACTGAGCTAACCAGCCAGCCCAAAACACCTCATTATTTTAAAGATTTGTAAAAAAAAAAAGAGAGAGAATCAAGTATTTATATAGCCTTTATTACATGAACTGTACCACTGAGTACCAAATAGTAAATGTACTAGGTTGAATGGTTGCCCCAGAAAGGTATGCCCATATTCTAATCTCTGGAACCTGTGAATGTTGTCTTATTTGGAAAAAGGGTCTTTGCCGATGTAATTTAGTTAAGGATGTTGTGATGAGATCATTTTGGATTACAAAATTACCTGGGTGGGCCCTAGATCTTATGATAAGTGTCATTATAAAAGACACACAGAGAACAAACAGAACAGCAGAAAGAAATATGACCACAGTGGCAGAAATAGGAGTGATGCAGCCATAGCTGTGCCAGCAGCTACCAAGAATACTAGCAGCCACCATAAATTGGAAGAGCCAAAGAACAGATTCCCTGCTAGAGTCTGCAGAGTGAGTGTGACCCTGCCAACATGTTTATTTTGGACTTCCGGCCTCCAGAACTGTGAGAGGATAAATTTTTGTTTTATGCCACCAAATTTGTATAATTTATTACAATAGCCTCAGGAAAATAATACAGTAGATGAGAGAAACTTTCTCTTTAGAAAGTATTGCAGCTGATAAGTGAATAAGGAATGGTAGAATATTACCACTTTGCCACCCCAAATGAATTAAGAGATGAAGTCTTTAGCATTGACATCTGCCAGCATCACAGAAAGAGAAACAACCAGATATTATGTGTTTCCTGATAAGAACATGCAGCCACCTATGAGGAGGTCTTGCCCCCCATAACCCCCCAAAATATAACACTGAACCTGATCAAGCTTATACATGCAACTAACAGTTTACAGATAATACAGAGGATGTAGGGATATGTTAAGCTACATATCAGGAATGCAATCAGCAAAATCCAGACTCTAGAAAGCTATAGAACAAATGATCTGATTTTCTTCAACAAATAAATACAGGTGGAGAGAGAGCAACCGATACATTAAAAGACATTTAAGAGAATCTATCAATCACAACATGTGGAACTTATCTGGATCCTTATTTAAGTAAACTGTAAAAGAAAAATGACAATTATGAGACAATTGGAAATTCAGACACATGCTGGATATTTGATGAGATTAAAGAGTTACTGATAATTTTTTAGGTATGACAGTGGTTTTACTTTAAAAGTTCCTTATCTCTCAAAATTCATCATGAAAACATTAAGGATAAAATGATATGATCTCTAGGATTTGCTTTAAAACAGTACAGAAGCGGGGGCATGAATGGGGTATAGATGAAGCAAGTTTGGCCATGGGTTGAGGGTGAGTAAAGGGTGCATTGGGATTCATTATATTATTCTATTTTTTAATATGTTTGAAATTTTCCTTTAAGAAGTTTTACAGAGGCTGGGCAGTTAGCTCGATTAGAGCACGGTGTTATAACACCAAGATCAAGGGTTCGGATATCTGTATTGGCCAGCCACACACACACACAAAAGTTAAAATAATAAGCCCAATGAAGCATTATCTTACAATCAGTAATGGTTCTTTAGCCGCACAGTCTTAACTTCCAGTCCAAAGACTTCATCAGTATTCCCAAGAAAGCCTGATATTGTGTTACAAATGCAATTAACATTAAACACTGTTTAATTACATGGATTTCCTCTTTATCTGATTCTTGGATCTCAGCTATGTGTGCCTTCCTTGAATCATAGGTTAAAGAACTGTGAATTGGGACAGTTAAAAATGGTGAAAATTAGGGTGCTTGCTCAGATTTTTTTAATAAAAATATTCTTCTAGAGGGCAAATGATCTTTGATTTAACCACCAACTTTATCATATTCACATTCCTTCAACTTTGTAGAGGCTTCTGATATGACAGAGAATTTTACACATAAAACTTTCTAATAGAATATATCATAGCTAAGGAAACTAAATCTGTAGTTAATTTACAAACCGCATCTTAGAGAATTATTACTGAAACTAGAGGTCATTCTCCATAACCTACCCTCCTCTGGTAGTAGAGCTTATAAGTATAGGTAGTGGAGATTATAAAAGGAGATGTGGCAGAAAGATTATTATAGATTCCAGGCTAGAATGGAAGTAAGGAATCTGCATAAACATTGAGGACTCTTTCTTTTAACAAGGGTATCTGAAAAATCAAGGGGTGTGGTTCAGACACCTTCTTGAGAGCTAAGGCTCTGGATTAATGTTGTAGAACGATTCTTCAAAGATAGCCAGTACTCAAAACAAATGAATGTTTAAACAAGAAAAAAGATTTTTAAAAAAGATGAATAGTTTGCCATTTTGTTTTCCCTGCCAAATTGACAAGCAATAATAACAGTAATTCATTTATATGGCAGTGTTTGCTTTTTTTAAAACTTTAACCACACACTGTTTTCTTTAGAGCTTGTAACAGTCTGATGAGATAAGTAACATTATCTCTTTATTATGGATAGGAAACAGACTTGGGTTAAGCAATGACTTGCTGAAGGTCATATAACTATTTACTAGTGAAGTTTTGGAGGTCCAAGTTCAAGGCTCTTTCCGCATGTTAGGGATAAGAAGCTGGCTTCAGCCAGCTGCCAAAAAGAATAAAAAATAAAAATAAATAAAATAAAGAAGCTGTATGTCCAGGAGAATACAAAGGTTTTGAATTGGATTATGTTGCTCCCTAAATTTGTCGAGTTTGTGTTAATAATGTAATGCATTAAACTTCATTTGGGAGAAGAGAAATTCTATAGAGTATACAAAGTTGAGACTTGAAACTGAAGCTTTGCCCCAATTAAATATAATTGCCTTCATAAGAGCATCAGCAAAGAGCGTTCATTAAATCATTTGAATAACTGATATTTCTGTTCCTACATCAGCTGAAAATCTCATCAATTTCCTGTTCCAAGTAGCATTTACTCAATTACTGAATTTGGCAAAAACAGTCATTTTCTAATAAGATTCTCCATAATCAAAACATTTCTGTCTAGCTTTATAATTATATTTTAAATGGTTTCATAAAACAAGAAAGAAATGGATGACCATTTTTAATGGTAGAAAATTGAGAAGGGAAGTTCTTTCTATTTTACTTAATGGGCCAGCAGTATGACTTTCATTATGTGGACAGAAAAATAAATTGTGTCTGTGCCAATGTCATTGCTCAGTAATTAGAAGAGACTATGTGTATTGAAAGGTGAGGTGGAATAGCAAATACCCAAGAGCATGAGCGAGCTTTGGAGTCACATAGATTCAGATGCTGTTCTCGCTCCACCTGTGGACAAGTTACTTCACCTCATCTGTGAGATGGCATTTAGTAATATTACTTTAGAGAGTTGTGTGAAAATTATAATCCGTGTAAAGCCCCTTAGCACAGTGCTTGACACAAAGCAGGTTCCTAATAAATATTAGAGACAACAATAATATTGACAGTATGGAAAATTAAATGATGACTTCTGTTTTGTCTTTTTCTAGATCTTGTTGAGCAGTGGAGTGGAGCAAACATTAGGGATTAGAACACATCTGAACTGAGTCCACCAATTAAGCAAACATATCTATCTTTTGAAGGTGTGAGTTTTTTCCGTCTGTGAAATTGGAACAAGAAAGAAAGGAATTCCAAGTTTGAGATAAAACATATACCACACTTTAAATGAGTACATTTTCCACCAGTTTATTTGAGGTTAAATAATTTGAGTAAGTGATTTCTCTGTTTTCTACATCAGTTGAAAATCATCAGTTTCCTGCAATGAATCAGTTTGCTTAAAACTTGAGTCTTTGTATAAACCTCAAGGCAAGATACATGATTGCTCATCTGTCAAGTGTACAGTGAATTACCATTCCTCAATAAATCTTAAATTGCAATGATAGACTTTCAGCCTTCAGATACATTATATTACAGTATGTGTGATAAAAGACAATCAGTACTAGTATTTGGTCATAGGATGGCAAAATGCTCTTAAGCCCCGATATAGCACAGGGTTGGGAACCCACAATCCCTAGAGAACTGTTTCATTTCTTCTTTATGTTTTTATAGCCTCCATAGTGAAATTTATCACTAGCAGTGGTTTTATTTGCAAAGGGTAGAATTCGTCACATATTTGCTTCTTAATTCTAATTTTAGCGAACAACAACACAGTCAAGTCCAAATCCTTTACTTTCTCTCCTTTTCCCCTCACTTATTTTCCTTTCTCCTTTCCCCCCTTCTTTTCTTCTCATTCCCTTTGCTTTTATTTTTTATTTTTAATGCAATAGTGGCAGAATATAAAACATAGCCTTTTTTCAGTGACCATAATATATTTTCATCCTTTTGATATTGGCTTAAAAAATCAAATCAGAATTTCTGTCTGACTTTTTAAAAATGTGACTGTATAATGATTATCAAATACAGACCTTTCTCAAAATCTCTGTTCTTAGTATCCATATTTATTCCACTTAATTTTATCCTCAGTGAATCATGGCATTTGAAAAATATTTTATTCCAGGGAAAAAACTAACAAAACAAGAAAAGTTAAATTACCAAAAGCTATCAAATAAAAATTATATAAAATAAAAGATGACACTCCTGTATGCCATTCACAGGAGCCCAGAGTAACCCAGGGGGCCTTTAAGACCCTGGACTTCCTGACAGATAGCTTAGAATCACAAGCTTTTATAGAGCAAAATCACGGGGGGCGGGGTGAGAGTGTCCCGTGATCGTGTGTGAATCTGATTGGTGGTGGTGAAGTCTGGCCTCTCGACTGATACTTTCCATGGTGCCTTGGGGTCCAGGGTGTGTTTGCTTCAAAGCAGGTTTGTAGTTGTTTGTTATCTGCAAAGGCAACTGGAAATTGGCCTTACAGATGTTATCCCAAGCCATAAGGCATTTATTTAAAGAACATACATCCTGACCTTCAGATCAAGTCCTAGCCTAAGGAAGTTTGTTTAATCAGCTCTACTCTTATCTTCTTATTGATGCTGCTAGGAATCCAGCTCATCCTGCCTGGTCAAGCGGTTTTTCTTTTTTAGCTGTTCCCCAGTTTCAGTTTTTTACAAAAATGGAATCAGACATAGTATATCACAGACCTCTTTTTAGGCCAGTAAATTTCAAACTGTTTCAGGTATTTTTAATGAATGGCTTCATGGAATTTCATAGTATGAATATATAAAAATTTATTTAACTATTTCCCTGTAGTTGCACAGTTAGGCTGTTTCCTTTTTTGCTATTATTGCAACAATATCCTTGTGCATGCACTTTTGTATACTTCTGCTATTATCTTTGTAGGATAGATTCTTAGAAATAGAATTGATGGATCTTTGAATTTGTACATGTTAAATACTAAGTGATAGTCACAAATTACTGACCTAATAGTTGTCCCCATCATCTCTTTGACTTCATAAAAGTTCCACATAACTGTTTTTTTTTTTTTGTCTTTTTCGTGACCAGTAAGAGGATCACAACCCTTGGTGTGGTGTTGCCCGCACCGCCCTCAGCCAGTGAGTGCACTGGCCATTTCTATATAGGATCTGAACCCGCGGCGGGAGCGTCGCTGCGCTCCCAGCGCCGCACTCTCCCGAGTGCGCCACGGGGCCGGCCCTCCACATAACTGTTCTATAAAGTTGGAACCAATCTTTGTTTTTATTCTTCAGAAAAATGAGTTCTTGGTCTTTTTAAATTTGTTTCTGCATCCTTCTCCACACCACACATTTATAATATCTTTCTCTACTCATCTTCATCCCTTCTTCCTTTCTGAAGAAATTCAGCTCTTGAAATCTTTGATTATTTCCATCATTTGCCTCATCATTGTTTCTCCATATTCTTTTTTTTAAAAAAATCATTTGGAAAATGATAATATTTGGCATAATTACTTATGTATTTTATTTAAACTACGTTTTAAAGGGAAAATTAAGACAAACATTTTCACAATGTTCTTTATTCTTGCATTTCTCTCTCTTTTTTTTTTTTAAAGATGTCCAGTAAGAGGATCTCAACCCTTGGCTTGGTGTTGTCAGCACCACACTCAGCCAGTGAGCCAACCGGCCATCCCTATGTAAGATCCGAACCCGTGGCCTTGGTGTTACCAGCACCACACTCTCCCGAGTGAGCCACGGGCTGGCCCTATTTTTCTTTTATATAAAGAGAAAGACTAAAGCTGTCCCTACCTCCCAAGTCCTGAAAATATTCTCCTTTCCAGGCCAGCCTGTGGCTCACTTGGTAGAGTGCGGTGCTGATAACACCAAGGCCACAGGTTCGGATCCTATATAGGGATGGCCGGTTTGCTCACTGGCTGAGCGTGGTGCTGACAACACCAAGCCAAGGGTTGAGATCCCCTTACCGGTCATCTTTATATAGGGGGAAAAAAAAATTCTCCTTTCTAAATGTTGTACATATTCCCATGTAAAAAATGTATTATGAATACATTTTTGCATGTCTGATTCTCACTAGACTTTTCTTCCATTCATTCAGTAAATATTTATTGAGCATCGGATCCTATTCTAGGCCATGATGTACAGCACAGAACAAAACAGACCAAATTCCCTTCACTTATGAAGCTCATGAGGCTGGTGAGACAGGCAATAAACAAGACAAATAAATAAAATATTATATAATGTATTAGGCAATTGTAGAAAACCAGCTGAGAAGAGTGGAGACAGAAGGAAAGAAAGGTTCATCATGTTTTGAAAAGAGATGCAGCAGGGCTTGCTTTAGATAGGACATGGAGTTTTAGAAAAATGAGCAATCAAAAATGCCTCATAGGTCTCCCTTAATATTGGTGCCCTTTACTAAGGTTGAGGAAATTGAGAAAGGGACACATTCAGTAGAGAAAAGTTCTTTTTTGGTTAGGTTTAGATATGTTAGTGTTCAGATATTTTTCACATGATGGCATCAAATAAACAGTTGAATATGAGTTTAGAGCTCAACAACCTAACCTGGAGATAAAGATTAGGAAATATTTCGCATATACAGGTATTTACAGCCGCAGGAATGAATGAGATCATGCGAGGAGTGTAGAGGCGGAAAGGAGAGGCATTCCGATATTTAGAGAATGGACTAAGGAGAAAAAGCCAAAAAACAAGACTGTGAAGGACCACACAATGATGTAGCATATAAACCAGGGGAATGGGAGTGGGGTAAGGGGAAGGTACAGACACCAAAGAGAGTGTTTCAGGGAGAAGAGAAAGGTTAATGTGCCAAATGCTGCTGAGAAGCATATAAGGTATTGATAGAAAAGATCTCAGATTTGTCAGGTTGGAAGACATTGACAAAAGGCATTATAGTGTGTTGATGGAGATGGAAAATACGTTGAAGTGAATTAAGAAGAAAATAAGAAGTGAAGAAATGGTGAGAGTAAATGTAGACAGGTTTTTTGTGAAGCTCTTTTGTGAAAGAGAGTTTCAAAATGGGGTTGTATTTGGTGAGGGGTATGGTGTCAAATAATGTTTTTCCCAGTTATTTTTATTGTGGTAAAACAACATTGCGGTACACGTAACATAAAATTTACCATCATAACCAATTTTAAATGGGCAGTTTGGTGGTTTAAGTACATTCCTATTGTGTAATTATTATCACTGTCCATCTCTAGGATTCTTTTCCTTTTGCAAAACTGAAAATCTACACCCATTAAACAATAATTCCCCACTTCTCCCAACTCTGGCAAACATTGTTCTACTTTCTGTTGCTGTGATTTTGTCTCCTCTATAGTATATGTCAGAATTTCCTTTTTCAAAAAAGTTGAGTAATACTTCATTATATATATTTACCACATTTTGCTTTTCCATTCATCTGTCAATGGACATTTGGATTGCTTTGATGTTTTAGTTATTGTAAATAATGCTTATATGAATATGGGTGTATAGATAGCTCTTCTTGATCCTGCTTTCAATTATTTGGGATATATACCCAGATTATATGATGCCGGAGACCAGCTCTGCAGGATTCATTGGACCTGAATAGGTCGTGTGGATTTGGTGAAAAAAGAAAGACATGGACCACAGATGTCTAATGCAAGTGTGGACCATGACCACATGAATCTTGCTTTATTTATATCTTTTTACTTAATCTTTTACATAATGATTTATCTTTTAATCAAAACATTTCTTATTTCATTTCTATTGAAAAGGAAAGGTCAAAATGCTCCAAAGCATTCATGCTTTGACAAAAACACCCACTCATGCATCAGTAGTTCACCCCAAAGTCTGTGGCTTGTGGCCAGGAAACTATACAATTACAGCATGCTTGGCTTTAAAAAGCATGAGACTTTTAGTTTGAACTATAATTTTAGTTTGAACCATAATTCTTAACCTTCTTATATGTAAACTTACATTCTATTAATCTTACTTATACTTATGTTTAACAATTTAATAATGTTTATGTTTATATCAACTATGTTAATTCTTAACTAAAACCGTATAACTTATATAATGATTCTATATAATAAAATATAACAATAAATCTCTATTACTGTTAAATGATTTTAAATTACAAACTAACCTAAAACAAACCTGTTAATATCAAAATTTGTTTATATTCTTATACTATTTTACTTATTTATCTCTATAACAAAACGTTTCGTATCTCTGCCAACTGACTCCGGGAACAGCACAGGGGACAAGGTGAAAAGTTAAATGACCCTTCTTAAGTTTGTTAAAATACACTGTATCATTCTTATTATTACTATGGAATGACATGTTCTTGGTGAGTCAAGTGAAGCAGTGGGAGTGGAGAAGGAACAAAGAAATCTGTAACTGGTTGTAATCAATTAGTTGTAAACACCACTGCACTCGGACCCACTGCCTCTCTAGGAGACGTGGATTTATAAAAATTTAACACAATAGCTTAATTCCACACGCACAAGAGTATGATCACAACTATAGAGCCAGTTATTCTAAA